AAGAAAAAAGAAGAAAAAAAGAAAAAAAAGAAAGAGAAGAAAAGATGAAATAATCAGAGCAGTGGCGAGTGCGGACTGCATAAAAAGAAAGACGCGTGGCTCGTTGGCTGGCACGGCGTCTCCCGCCATATCACACTAGTCGGATACTCGCACACTAAGTGTCATACACTCGCCACACATACAACACACACACAACACACACACACATATATAAAGAAGGTGGAACGGTTAAACGAAGAACTACGTGTGCATTGTATTGGTACGCTGCGAGTACAGACGGAAGATGAAACACGCATACAAATACACACGCACGAACCCGCGGAATTTTCTCCGATGCGTGTGTGCACGCATGCACCGTGCACACCAGGGGCCGCGCGAGCAACGCACACGGCGTACACTGAGCCTCTCGGCGGCGCGATCTACGTGAGAAAAACACTGACTAACCTGTCGGAGGCGACTCTCCCTGTATTCCGCAGGCTACAGTACTCCTAAGTACTCGTGTAATTTCACCAGCTACACTGCGTTCACCAAACTAATCACTCTCTCACACGGCGTTCTTACGATTGTGTGTCGATCAGAAAGTGTACGCGCGGCGCCTTGACTCTGTATTACGATTTTCACACTGCCTTCGCGGCGTCCACGGGTGACTTCGAGCCTCCCGTGGAACGATACTCGCTCGGATACGAGCTCTGGGGTCACACGCGCCCGCCCGACGCCCCAGTTCTTGCCGAAAATCCCTCGATTCAACGAAAAAATTGGTCGACAATGCGCGGAACTACGTTCGCGACTGTCTCCCTCGCTGGAGGAAAATGGCGGCCCCCGGCCATCCGAGTGACTCGCGCGCGCCACCGATACTCTCCGTCACCGGCCGAATATACCCGAAAATAACCGATCCTTTTCGATTCGGCTGTGCCGAACGGTTAAGTTAAATATCCGTCGAATTTTTCCAACATTTTCGAAATACGGCAGTTCAAGTAGCTTCGTTCTCGAAGTTTTCCTTATCGTTGTATCAAATGACAAATAATATACGTGTTAATTTCACATTCGTAAACAGAATTCATTCTCCTCCTTGCAGGACCATTCATTTTTTCATCCTATCGTGCATTTGAAATTACATGTTTATGATAAATTTATGCGTTTTTATAACGAGAAGAACATATTTATATTTAAATAATGTTCAGAATCAAAATGTACAGGAACAACGCATTAACGTAAAGAAATTGTTAGAATATATTTTTCTCGTGGGGGATGCACACGCGATCGTTCGAGATCATGATTACTTGATCGAAACTGAAGAGATTATCAGTAGAAAATTTTTCGAAAACTCACCTTCGTACAAAATCTTGTTAAATTTACGAAAGTCGCACATCACATTTCCAAAACATTCAACCACGCGTACGTTAGTATTTTCTATTTAGTTGCGTTGTACTCGGATTACATACTCAAATTTCGTGATTGGTTGGAACTGAGCATTAATCCGTTCCAATGACCAATCAGAAACACCAAGAATCATTGGCAAGAATAAGATATAACATTTATGTCAAATAAAGTTAATGTAATGATGAAGAGCATACATATTTTTGCCCCGACATTATACGCATCGTAGATTTTTTACCATTTATAAAAGACTATAAAATAAATTCTACATAGAAATAATGACAAATTCTTTAATTGGTAATGAATCGTTCAGTCACATGATTTAGTCTGAGGATCATCCCTTATTTCTATCGTTAATAGAGCCATCTACTGTAATATTATAATACTAACTTTTTTTATCATGCGTAAACAAAATGATAATTATCTTTATTAAAATAGTGCAAGAGTTTTTCACGATTTTTGAAAATAGTAGCCCGTCGAAGTTGTTATACTCATTATCTTCCGTTTATATTTGTAATTTGTATGAAAGAAGATGAACAACTATGATACATAATAGCAAAGTACATTAGCTGTGACACAATAAACATAATTTCGTCAGATTCTTAAGTACAACTTTACGCGTAGATTGAGCATAACCAATATGTCAGACGTTAAAAGTCTCGAATACCCAACGTTAAAGGTATTTAACATTTTTGTGATTGTCTTATGATTTTTTTGTTCATTTAAATTTCTCCGAGATTATTGACAATTATTATTGTTTATACGTTCTTTCACGTTAATTTTATAATTAATTTTACTATTTTTGAATTTAGAAATATTTTATCATTATTTAAATTGATCTGGTATTCTGTTTAGGTTCCTTACGAACTCCTTAATAAAAAATTTCGGTTAGCACAAAAGGTCATTGATAGGGAAGCTTCGTATGTACAAACGGCAGCTAATGAATTAATGAAAGATAATAAAACTTCTGTTCCTGCTGGGGAGATGAGTATACTATTAGGTGGAGTTGTGGAAAAACTTCAGACTTTAAAGAGAAAAGCACAAGAATCTATTGCGGAAGAATTGCAAGCAGGCATGGTTTGCAAAAGACGTTTAGAACATTTAAAGGAACATGCCAATACTGCTCCAAGTGTTGTGAATCAATGGCGGAGACAAAGACTTGATAGAATGCTGATAGAATATTTCCTTCGTAAAGGCTATTATACAACTGCAACTAAATTAGCAGACAGTAGCGAGCTTAGAGATTTAACAAATATAGGTATATTGAATGTTAATGTTATTCAGTATTTTCTAGGATATAAACAACAATGCTCATTTCATATTTCTAGATGTTTTTATGGTGTCAAGGGAAGTTGAAACGTCTTTGGCAAATCATGAAACTGCAAGATGTGTTGGATGGTGCTATGACAATCGATCTAAGTTAAGAAAATTAGGAAGTACTATGGAATTCAATTTACGTGTGCAAGAATTTATAGAATTAGTGCGACAAGATAGAAGGCTTGATGCTGTCAAGCATGCTAGAAAATGTTTTACCAATTATGATCATTACCAACTGCAAGAGATTCAATGTTGTATGGGACAATTAGCATTTCCAGCTAATACATCTCTCAGTCCATATAAAGATTTATTAGATGAAAAAAGGTAAATATATTTATAAAATTGTCTTGTTGATTTTGTTGTTAAGTTATATGTTTATAATAAGTGGTACTTACAGATGGGATAGATTAATTGAGCAATTCAGACATGAAAATTATAGACTTTTCCAATTGGCAAGTCAAAGTGTTTTTACTGTGGCATTACAGGCAGGTTTATCTGCATTAAAAACACCTCAATGTTATAGTGCAAACAAAGAAGGCAGAAACCCAAATTGTCCAGTGTGCAATGAAGCTCTTAATGAATTAGCTGTCCCATTGCCTTTTGCTCATTGTTCACAGTCCAGGCTTGTTTGCAGTATTAGTGGAAAACCGTTAAATGAATATAATCAACCAATGATGATGCCAAATGGATATGTATATGGAGAGCAAGTAAGGAGATAAATTTGTTTCATATAAAACATAGTTATTAATTTGTTGAGTTAATTTACCATATTATTTTAGGCATTGGAGAAGATGGCTCAAGAAAACAACGGTACAGTAATTTGTCCAAAAACCAAAGAAGTGTTTCCGTATAAAAAGATAGAAAAAGTGTATGTTATGTAAAAATTATTGACTCAGATATGCAATTTGTATTATACACAGTGCATCTTTCATATTCTAACTCAGAATATTTACTGTTTAATACTGTATACCGATATTAACAAAGGGAATAACTTCTATTTTTAAGGAAATATTTTTTGCAAATTTTATTTGTGACCACCTACTAGAATAAAATGTGATACAAATGAATAATGTGTGTTATGGAAAACGTTCTAGTTTTTCGACGTAAAAAGATATACAAACTATTATGATAATGTAGTTGGTTATTAAACATGAAATCAGATTTTTGTCCTTAATCATTTATTTAACATCATCTCTACAATAAATTGAACAATTAAAACAATTCCATAAATCTACTTTTCAAGACGCATTTTGTAACCATGAACTTTGTAAGTATATTACAGTGATTCATATTTATAACTTGCATGCCCAAACCTTTCAACATAATAATGATAAGGTTTACGTTATATTTAACATTGGTGTAATCTGGTTCCTACTTTGTTATATAATCTTTTATGGTTTCATTTTCATGTAAAAAACAGATGTACCACCATTTAAACACTTTTTGAAGTATATCTTAATGAAGAAAGCCTAATCTACCTATGATATGCATTAAGCAATTTTAGATGAAACATGTCCACAAGTGAATCAATATAAAAATATCCCTTCTATGCTCTATCAGCTTTAAATTCAATGATTTCTCATTCATTGGTTTTATTGAATTTTATTTATAATTTATTGTCTGAATTGCTTTATGCAGAGGATTGTCCTTCTAGGAATTCGGATTCTATATTTTAGAATAAAATTTGTGGTCAACTTGGGGTACAATATTTGAGGTAATTTAAGGTTTTCCATTAGCAAGATTTCTTTATGTTTATGTATATATGGCTTTGACAATTAATTTAGCTGAGCATAATTTGAAGATGTGTATAGGAATATTAGTTATAACTATATGTGAATTGATAGAAATAGAGGGTAAACAGTATTATAAACAGTAAAACGGTATAGCTTACAATAATATATATAATAAAAATGCAAATTTGTAATTATCACATGTTACTACATGTGGAAGCACTTAGACAATATTTACAAATTTTATTAAATGTACCCAAACAAAAATCCATACTTAATAATGTATATACTTTTCTTTCTTTTTTGTTTTACTGAAACTAATATGTGTACACATATGTACATATGAGTTAATATGTGTAATAAAACTTATTAAGAGTAATTATATTTTAAATTTTGTGATTTATAGATAACTTTCAATTTATTATAACTAAAGGTAAACAATAAATAATAAAATAATATACATTATAAAGTAATAAAAATATGCTTTTCATTCAATGTATAATGTGTAACATTTCGTTTAAATTTAAATGTAAACAAATACATTTTGTAAGTATGTTATACATTATATGGATGTAATATTGAAACTTGTGAAATGTTCAATTTTGTGCACTATGTTTTATTGTTATTTTTTTTTAACGTATTGAACAAAAAGCACATTAAGCACTATAAAAACGAAAAAACCTAAATGAGGAAAAGAGTAATAATTAGAAATACAAAATAAACTAAATAAAACAAACACGTATTATTATCTTAATACATTGAAATTGATATTAATCAGATCATTTTAATTTCAGATCAAATTACTTTCATCTTTAAATGTAAACTAGTTATTTGAGAAGGCAAATATTAATCATCTAGCATTTGAATAAAAAGAAAGTTAATTAAACATAAAAATTAATACATAAGATCATACGGAACACAAAATGTATAGTTATATTAGTAAAGATAACACAATTTATTAATTACCAAAGTCAAAACATAATCATATGAGATATAACATTAAGCTATTAAAAGCTGTTTTGTGCAAAATATTTAGTTTAAAAAAAAATATATGTAGTTTAATATGCTCTTTAAATGCATATCTGTGTGTATGTGTATGTATTTCAAAAATGTAAGTATTTTAAATTATTCACTATAATTAGCACATTACTGAGCATTTAACAAAGAAGAAAATGATGTTCCATTTTAACATCTTTGTTGTCCAAATTGGATATAGCTCAACCCTAAATTTTGTTAAATTTTGTTAGTACGAAAAGTTAACAAACCACAGTCTTATTATAAATTTGGTCTATGTAAATAACAATCATTAAATGTACAAATCTTTTGTGTGCTTATTTTAGCGGCTTCGAGTTAACTCATGCATGTGAAAAACTTAATAACATACGGACATACGGACTTAATAACATATTAAGGCTTATTGGTCCAATTTAGTAGTAATTTCATTGGGCAGTGATTAAACATCAATCTGATTATTACGAACTTTATGCATAACAGATCTCTATTCTTTTTTTTTTCAAATTTTAAATATTTTGTTATTAAACATTAGTTTGTTTTCAACAATACGAATCTTTTGAGGTATTATTTAGTGTTTACATTTTTTTCTTTTTTTTTAATATACTGTAATAAAAATGTTCATAGTGTTTTAAATATGAATCAAATAAATAGAAATTATTAACATGTTATTTTATGAAATCATCTTATAATGACATAAGATTTACTTTCAATTTCACCATTTTAGGCGCTAAAAAATAAATTTATTTGTCACAAATGTTAAAATAAAATTCTTCAATTTGACAAATTCTGATCTTATTCTTTTCTTTGTGCCTTTTTTTTAATTCTCCTATAAAGTCTTTAAACGTATATTCGTGAATCTTGCACGTATTAAGATAATTCAAATGATATGTTTGCTACCAAGATGGGCATGACCATAGAAAATAATATTCCAGTAAAGATCCCTGTAATTAATGATGCTGCCCCAAACATACCTGCTGTTGCCATATATTGAGAATCTACCATTCTAAAATAAAAATTCAATCTCTAATATGTTTTAATATTAAAAATAAAAAGCAATTTTTTTTTATCATATAAATCTCACCTCGGACAATACATCATGGACAAAGAGGAAAAATAGCCACTACTTATTCCCATTGTAACGGCAATTAGAAAATAAACCCAGTCATTATTAATGTACACTGGTAATACTCTTGAAATACCACTTGGTTTGTAATTACACAATAAAAACAATGGTATATATAAAATACGTAAAAGAACTGGGATTATTAAGTACTTTCTACTAGGCTACAAGGAAAGAAAATAGTAATTAAGAAATTAATTTCTACATTTATTATTCAACAAATCTTTTGATTAAAAAATTTACTTACCCATTGAACCAACGATGCAATTGAACTACCAATTAGAGCAGTAACATTGAATGTGAGAAAACACATGATAGTACTGTAATAATCTGATGATACTATAAAATTAGGATCCGAACGTACTATATCGGATTGAACAGATGGAAATAAAGAAAGAGTTACAAAAAATACGAAAAATGTGTTAAAGCACTGAGGAAAACATTGTTTAAATATCTTCCAGTAAGGCGGTGTATTATGTTTATCTCTTGTATTGTCTTCCAACTGCCTTTTATTTATTCCTTTCTGATATAGAAATTCACGATAACGGTAAAATCTCTATAATAAATAACAATAAAACATTAATCAATAACATATAAAACATTATACTTAATTTGCAATAAAGCTTATAAGAAAATTATAAATCTTACATTTATTGGAAGTGCAAAATAAGTATCAAAGCATGCAAGAAGAACAAACAGAGCAGTTATAAAATAATATATTGCTGCAGTCCGAGGATTTGGTGCCATATATTGGGCAATAAAATTAATTATCGCTGTAAATGTTCCACTTATATTCTGAAAATAACATTAAAGTAATATGGCTGAATGTGTATATGTTAAGTGAAGTTTTATTATTTTGTATAAAATTGTTCAAGGTCTTGTTTACCGAGCCTAAGATAACAGCTCCTGTGTATTTTGTGGGTAACTTTGCCACCATACCAAACACAGAATTTTGGTAAATTCCATTAGCAGCTGAAAAATATTTCATAAATAAAAATTAGTACTCTGTATATAGGAAAACTAAATTTGATACTAAATAAAAAAATGAAATGCAATTTAAAATTATTGTAGTTTTTATTTTAAAAATAAATATATTTCTTTAAAATACATAAATGACTGTTATTTTGAAATTTTTATAAATTATAAAAATAATTTTATCTTACTGTTTAATATAATAACAGAAATCATGGTAATCCAGAAAAAGACACCTGGCCAACCAGAGCTGTCAGTCATTGCCAAAATAACAGTACATACAAATATTAGAACTTGTATGAAGATGCCCCATACTATACGCGTTGTTAAATTGCCACTAAAAGAATTTAAAGATTGTTTTAAATACCAATACTTGTTCTTCATTAAGCATCTGTAGATTATCATATGATGATAAAGACTATTATACAATGAAAATACATTAAAGAATACATTTTTCAAAAATAAAGATAACACGTTATAATTAAGATTATACAAAATATACATACCCAAACTGCATAAATACATTTAACCAATTAAATAGCAGATTTGGTATTTGTGCTGCAAATCCTAAATATGCAAGAAAATTTGTGGCATAGTTTGATTGAATTCCAGTATATTCCTCAGAGAGTTTGTAATTAACAAAATACTAGAAGAACAATTAAGTTGATTAAAAATTCATAGCTTATGTAAAATTAGTAATAGAAAATAAAAAAATATACTACAAAGAGTTATACATTTTTTGCTGTTATAAACATATTCCACGGCATCAGGACACCAATTCCATGAAGTATCATTATACAGAATACTATATTTAATCTAAAATTATATAAACAAGCGATTAGATTACAAATTGTAGTAAATTATATTTATATACATACCTATCTTTAGGAGGATTTAATTCAAGATCTGCTTGATCCATTGTAACTCCTTTAAAATTCAATTCATCATCAGGTCTACCTGTACCTTCCCAACCAGGAGAAAGACGAACAGGCTCAGTACCTACAATGAAAGATTCAGTTTTTCCAGTATGATTTTGACAACAC